GGGCCCGAGCCGACCCAGGCTGGAAACGCCGGGGGGCCAGCCTGGGCCGCGCCTCCTCCCCCCACACCCCCCTTACCTGCTTCAGGCTTCCCGCGAATCAAATATTCGGGGAGCCGGGCCGGCGGGGAGCCGGGTCAGCCGGGGAGCCGGGGGCGGGGCCGTGGGCCGTGGAGTGTCCTCCATTTGGAGGCACAAAATATGGTAACCCTACTTCCGGGGGGACTGATTTATTGTCAGACAGCGCATGCTGGGCGCTGGTGCATGGCAGAGCCAAGAGGTCACAGTGAGCCACCTCGCCCCACCTTGGCTATTGTTTAAATCCCAGTCTGGCTCAGCTGGGCAGGACACGCAGACCTGGCTCCTGGCAGCACCATGAAATCAGGGGCCATCTTCCTTTCCAGGGCCTCCAGACATCCAGTTCCGTGTCCATGTGCAATCCTTTGTGCCATTCCTTTACCGCTCGGAGGGGCACTGCCAGCTCTGCAGGGGCAGGAGGGAATCGTCCATCCTCTGGAACGCTCCTGCCCCGGGTGCTGAGTATCTGCTGAAGCTGGACACGGATATTTTTCCCTGATGATTTCTCACTTTGGGTGCTAAAGGCTCCATCACATCGCTCAGAGATGCCCATAGGACAAGCTTCTGCTCCTGTGCCCTTATGCCCACCCACTTCAGCTGGGTATGGGGGAGACAGATCCTTGGCAGAAGTCTCTGCTTCTGAGTCCCTTGTCTCTCTGTCCTGTGCCCGCAGATATCTGCAGCCTCCCCATTGAAGTGGGCCCCTGTACTGCTGCCATTCCTCGCTGGGGCTACAACTGGCACTCTAAGAAGTGTGAAGAATTCTCTTATGGTGGCTGCAATGGGAACAAGAACAACTTTGAGACTAAAGTAGATTGTCTCCAGGCCTGTGCAGGCCAGGGTAAGACCCATGACAACCTGGGCAGGTGCTGCTACTAATACAGGGGAATGCTGGCAACGCACCAGGGCCCCCAGGCTGCTCTCTAGTAAATGGTGCCCCTCATGTAGTGTGTCCCCTATCTAGTCCTACAGTGCCTGGGTGTAGTGTAAGTGCGTTTCGGGGCTGCTGCAGTAGGTATGGAGCATAGAATCCTAGGACAGGAACAGACTTTGAGGGGTCGTCTAGTCCAGTCCCCTGCACTCATGGCAGGACTAAGTATTATCTAGACATGGAACATGCAGGGTACATGGACAGCGCGTGCATATCTGATGTGTGGAGACGGTGAATGTGTGTGCACCTGTGGTGGAAAGGGCAGCCCGCACTGAAAATGCCAAGGTCAGGACAGGTTGAAAAAGGGCGACAGATCCTCCCAAAACTGGAGGTTAACACTGAAGTCAGAGTCACCAACCAGTCACAAACCGTGCTCCTGATCCCCCCCACTGGTTATCAAGAAGCTAAAAGAGAAATCACACAGCCCCCTTTACTGCATTCCTGTTCTCTGGCTCCCAATCACCACCGAGGCGCCGTAAGGTGAGGAGTTATTTCAAAACTCTGCTCACTCTACAAAATGTTCTTCTGACCCGCAAAGGGCCAGTCACATTGCCAGGGCAATATGAGGTTGGATCTTACCCAAAATCCCAGGATGCCGGCCAATCCTTTAGCATCTAAAACTAAAGGTTTATTATACAGAAAAAAGAACAAGAGAGTTGTTAAATGGTCAAAGCAATCAGATCCATACTTATAATTTCAGAGTCCATATATCGGGTTCTTAGCAGCATTGGTGAGTTTGCTGACTTGTAGAGTCCCTCTGGAACATCCCCAGCTTGGATGGGTTATTCAGTCCTTTTTCAGAGCTTCAGTGTGTAGAGAAGTGACTCCAGAGGTGAGAAGCAGGGTTGAAGACAAAAATGGAGAAGATGCAGCTGCCATTTTATATTCTTTGTCATGTGGCTCGTACATCCTGCGTCCCAAACACAAACCTACAAGCACATGGGCATGGAAAAGCAATTGCAGTCCCTGTCCACAGACATGTCCCTACATGTCCTGCTGACTCATAGGTGTAACCCTGCCTTCTCTCATGGGTTCATTGTATAGCTGGCTGGATAGTGCCGATGCCAATCTGTCTGGGGAGTATCACCCAGAAGCACAGCACAAGTTTGAAATACAAATATACCACACACATTTATAACTCACAATACAAATATGATACATACATATAAACATGATTATCATATTTAGCCAATCATAACTTTTCCACTGATACCTCACATGGCATATCTTGTAAGATTCATTGCAATTTTGTAATACTGGTATCAATAACATTGTAAATGGTCACCCCTGTTCCATTCAGCATCACACACTACATACATGGCCCATCTCTCACAGTCCCATAGCTGCAGACTGAAGGGAGCCCATCCCGCTCCTGCAGCACTGGCTGTCCTCCCCCTCCGCTCACCCGCCAGAGCTGGGCGAGTCTCAGTTCCTCTCTGCCTGCAGCTCTAGCAGTGAAAGTGACTAGCCAAGGAAATGGAAATATACCTGCTGGGGGTGTAAGGTGCCCCCGGCAGTGCGGGGGTCAATGCACCCTGATGCCATGGTGCTGCTGAGGGTCAGCTCTGAGTCCCCAGAACTGAGCCGGGCTGGAATTTCAACCATCTTCAAGGCAGGACTGGTTAAGGAGTGGGGGAGGTGCCTCACAGTGCCATGGTACAAGGGCTCTGACGGCTTCGTCCTATTTCCCAGGGTCTCCCTAATTCCCGTCTGCCCGAACCCGGACTCCAGAGGGGACGAGCTGCCTCAGCCACACTGACCAATTGCCAAGATCGGATCAGCCTGAAGACAAAGCCCCGACCCCCAGGGACTCTCCCCATCCCCGGAGCTGTTGCCAGGGGAACAGGTCGTGGTTTCCTGGAATTCCTTCTCTTCCTCAATAAACATTTCCTGACATCCCTGCACCTCTCGGCGTCTGCTTCATCATTCTCCAGGTCAGGCCTCTCCCAGCCTGTGCAGCCCCCACCACCCCACCCCAGAGACCGAGAGACACTGAATTGCTAGGTGGAAACTTTCCCAGTAATCACAGACAAGCTCTGGGATGTGCATGGGGAGCTCTGGGAGCAGCGACATGGAGCAGACCAATCTTTACACTAGTGCCCCTGTTTTCACAATTACACATGTAAGCAGAGTCAGGATGAGCTCTACCCTGACATCTGGTGGTGAATTGTGGTGAGTTGTGGAAAACAACTTCAGGGGCTGATCTTGTTTGCATAGGCACACCCACCCCGCCTAGCCTGAGCCCACAGCAGCCCAAGTGGTCACTTTGGCTGCTGTGAGATCCCCAGTTTCTCTGTTATTGGGGCAGGAAGAATAAAGTGTTGTTACCCTGATTATGTGAATCAAGGACAGTGTAACTGTTTTATGACAGAGGGACTCACCATCAACTAAGCAGCACTCACTAGACAAGGGGCCTGAAACACCAAGCACACCTCTTGTTTTCTCTACTGTAGAATATTAGAGCTAATTTTGATTCTATTAGGAGTCTATTTATAGGCTACTGAGTAGAATTCACTTTGGGCCAATGGTGCACCAGTACTGAGGCTCCTCTACTACAAGCTGAAATCACTAAAGAGCTAAAATTACTAAGAGCTGAAATCACCGAGTGCTGTGTCGGGGAGCCCTGAACATATGTTGCTGAGTGGCTGGTGGAGCGGAGCTGGAGCGGGATGGCTGGAGTGTCTCACGGGACAACTGGTGGAGCAGAGCAGCTCATGGTGAACGTTGCAGCAGAACCCCACGGAGAGGTGGGGCAGTCGGCCTCAGACCACATAAGGTGCCCTTAACACCCCCGTGCGCCCCTCCCTCCCCCCAGGCTGGGAGGTAAAACTCTGCAGATAAACTTTTGAACTCTGGGGCTGCACTGACCAGGGACAGAGACTTTTGGGTTGTTGGACTTTTGGGTAATTTTGGGTTGCTGGACTCTAGAGACTTTTGGGGTGTTAGACTTTTGGGACTTTGGGTGATTATTTGGGTTTTTGGACTTTGAGGTGATTGGACTTAAGACCCTGAGGGGAAAAGGACACTGCCAAACTTACTTGGAGGTGGGTCTTTTGCTCCTGATTTGTGTTATGAATCCTGTTTGTGGTGTTTCCCCAACATAATGCCGCGTTGTTTCCCTCCTTTATTCAAAGGATTTTGCTAGACTCAGACTCCGTGCTTGCGAGAGGGGAAGTATTGCCTCTTAGAGGCATCCAGGGGGTGGTGTGTAATTGTCCCAGGTCACTGGGTGGGGGCTCGAGCTGGTTTTGCATTGTGTTATTGAAACGGAACCCCTAGATACTGAACCCGGCCCTTGTTGCTGCCAGCTCAGATGGGCAGAAGGGTTACGCACAGTTTTTGTGCCTAATTTGGCCTTGCAGCTGCACACCTGGCTGTCTAGTGAAGTCACACATTTGCACATACAGTCACGTGAACTGGGCTCCCAAGTGCACTTGCATATTTGTGTACAAGCAACTTTGGGAATGTGTCCCACTGCCTGCTCTGTCTGAGGCTCTTTGTGAAGCGGCTGCTTCTGGGGAAGCTCTGCATCTCCCAACATTCCCATCTTTATTTGGCTGCCTTTGTGTGACTGTTTTAATGAAACCCTTGCAGGAAGGCTGGGTCCTGCAGGCAGGTTCCCCAGGGGTCTCAGAGACTCACAATGGCTTCTGGTCTCAGAACGCTTAGCATGTTTTGGGCACTCAAACCATTAAAGAATCATTAGAATTCCTGACAGATGCGTCACGGCACACTAAACCAGTGGCAGAGAGACAAGGTTCTGTGGCTCCCCGCTACACTTAAACCCTGATCAGGTGTCTTCTCCCTAACACTGCCATCTTCCCATCCTCCTCTGGCATTTTGCTTTGGCCTTTGGGCTTTCATGCGTCAGGGGGGTACCCTGACTGGGCTCTGGGGATGGAATGTACTGGGCACGGGAAGGGGTGAAGGGTCATATTATTGCAGATCAAATTTGCCACTAGAAATTGTACTGCAGGGACTAATTTTGGGTCCACTCCTGCAAATACCTCTGTGTTTGGCTTTTGGCCTGTGACTAGTCCCATTGAAGTTAAGCATGTGAGCGTGTGCAGGATCAGCACCCTCTGTGTTCCTGGCACTAACTGAGGAACTCGCGGAAAGGGTGTCTCATGTACCCTGAAATTAGGCCCACCAGAGAAGAGAAGCTCCTGTGCTGTTGGGCAGGGGAAGGGGAGAGCACAGGCCAGGGACAGAGACGTATGAAACCACAGACAGAAGTTCACAGCGATATCCCGGCAGGGGTTATTTTTAATATCCACATTTATTGAAGAGAGGCTTTCATTTCTAAAAGAAAGAGACCAAGCCAACTCCCAGTGCACGTCACGTGGCAGAGAACACGCTGCGTCAACCAGACAGGAAGGTGGCTCAGGCACCCAGCTACATGCAGAATGGTGGGCAAAGCAGCAGAGAGAAACACACAACTCCGTTAACAACAGCGTTACAGGGGAGGGGACTTTTTACTCCAAGGAAGAGAACGGTGAAAACAAGAAGGGTTTTTACAAAGCCCGGCTCTTTGTGTTCCCTGGTGTAGAACACACGCCTGGCCTAACTCCCCAAGGACACTAGCCCAGCACCTGCTAACTGTGTCTCTAATCTGCAGGCACCATTACGATGCCTGTCCAGGCAACGTGCGGATTAGCCTGCATGGGTGGCTGTTTGAACACCCAGTTGGCCAAATACACAGCTTGAAGGTGTATCCTCAACACTTGTTCATGGAAATCCGGCAGCCTATGACTGCACCCAGCACTGGGCTGGTGACGTGGAGAATCAGCCCCTACAGCCCTACACACAATTCCTTCCCCTACATTCTAATAGTTACAGTTACACATTTACTAAGTGCTGTACCGGCCTGAACTGGTGAGTCCTCGTGAGGAAGGTGTCCAGAGGGAATGGCTCTGGTGCACCATGCGATGGGACAGGTACCCGAGAAGAACTGGCCTGAACCTGGACTGCTAGGAGTGGAGAACATCAATGCCAGGGGCTGGCTAACCCATCAGGAAAGATTTAATAAGAGAGAAAATATATCTCAAGAAAAAATGAGCTGAAAGCTGAATCAAAGTGCTCAGACACTAGAGTGATGAGCTTAGAGTAAGAGCCTGGAGAGAGAACCCCAACGTCCCCTTGCACCCTACTCAGGCCAGGGAGCAAAGATCCCTGAACGTTGATTTCCTTCACCCAGAGAGAGTGATCCCTGAGCAGTAACCTTGTCATTCAATGAGGCAGCATGTTCCCAGGCAATCACTAGTAAAAGAGAAGGGAGAGCTGGAAAAAGTCAAACAGGAAAGAGAGGCTTTGGTTGCCAGGAATGTATTTGGAGGCTGATCTGATATCAAAAAGTTTCCAAACCATCAGCTATTTAGAGCCACCATCCCAGAGGTCAGAATCATCACCTCACTTATCACAGTCTTCAGCCCCTTCAGAGCCTCCATCCCTCAGGGAAGAATCATCATCTCCCCCAGCAAAGTCATCCTCGCTCAGGTCAGCGCCCTCATCTCCCCCGGCAAAGTCATCCTCGCTCAG